ATTCCAGCTAAGTTCTTTTCCCAGCTGTTTACTTTCTCCCCCTAATGTCGGAAAGACTGATTCATTAAAATGACAGTCTGCAAAACGAGCTTTAAATAGATCCCCTGTGGATGGCTCTAGATACTTAATGATTGATGGAGAATCATATCCAACATATATACCCAGCCTTCTCTGGGGTCCCATTTTAGAACGCTGTGGTGGAGCAATCGGGACATATACGGCACATCCAAAAATTTTGAGATGGGATATATTGGCTCTTGACCCAGTATCAATTGTGATGGGGAGAACTTATGATTACTCGTTGGCCTGATGCGAATTAGTGTTGCTGCATGCAATATGGCATGTCCCCAAGCAGAGACTAGGAGTTGGGATCTCATAAGTAATGGTCTAGCAATCATTTGGAGACGTTTTATTAACGATTCAGCTAAACCATTTTGTGTATGAACATGAGCTACAGGATGTTCAACACTTATCCCAATTGACATGCAATAATCATTAAAAGCTTGAGATGTGAATTCACCAGCATTATCAAGTCGAATTGCCTTTAGGGAAATCTGGAAAATGTGCTCGTAGTCTAATCAACTGAGCAAGTAATCTCGCAAACGCCAGGTTGCGAGTTGATAACAAGGATACATGTGACCATCTTGTTGATGCGTCAATTAGAACCATAAAATATCTAAAGGTTCCACATGGTGGGTGAATCGGTCCACAAATATCTCCTTGTATGCGTTCCAGAAAATTGATTGATTCTGAGGTTATCTTGGCTGGTGAAGGCCTTATAATCAATTTGCCTTGTGAACAAGCAGCACATGTGAAGTCATTAGGCAGAATCTTCTGGTTCTGTAATGAATGTCCACACGAATTAGTGATTATCTTTCGCATCATTGTTGTACCGGGATGGCCTAACCGGTCATGCCAAACGATAAAGTTTTCAGTAAACTTCTGGTTTACTACAACATTTGCTTCGATTGTACTAATATTAGTATGGTACAATCCAGTGGAGAAAGCAGGTAGTCTTTCCACAATCTTTTTAGAGCCTTGGGTATTACTTGTGATATGAAGGTCATGCCAAACGATAAAGTTTTCAGTAAACTTCTGGTTTACTACAACATTTGCTTCGATTGTACTAATATTAGTATGGTACAATCCAGTGGAGAAAGCAGGTAGTCTTTCCACAATCTTTTTAGAGCCTTGGGTATTACTTGTGATATGAAGATATTCAACATCTCCTTCACTCATAGTTTCAATATGATATCCATTTTTGCGAATATCTTTGAAACTCAGTAAATTTCTGTTAGATTTAGGCGAGTATAGCGCATCAGAAATTTCGAGTTTTGTTCCCATAGGCAATACTATATATGCTCTTCCGGAGCCTTCAATTATATTTGCACTACCCATTACAGTGCTCACACTGGCTTCTTTCATTATCAAATGAGAGAAATATCTCTTAGTTTTCAAAATAGTGTGACTAGTTGCACTGTCTGCCAAGCATAAATCTCCACCATTCATTGTTCTTCAAAATAAATAAATAAGATAAATTAAAATCAAATAAGTAAATAACTTAATTAAATAATATTAAAAATAACAACTCATAAATTCGTAAAGAACAATTAAAAGAAAGCCAAAACACCAAAAGCCAAAAACCAATAAATAATGCAACAAATGTCTTGAAATAAAATAAATAAAATCAATTCTGCCCTGCAGGGGCAATGAGATCAGCAATTTCCATGTGAGTGGCCTCACTGAATGAGCCAAAGTCATCTTCTCCATCTTCGAACACCATGTTTGTTTCCACATTCTTTCCATTTGGTTTCAGAGACTGTTGATACAGCTCAACCAAATGCTTTGGTGTACGGCACAAACGAGACCAATGGTCTTTTCCTCCACATCGGTGACACACATTTGCTTGTGGTGCTTGTCTGTTGCCACCTCTGTTTCCCCCTCTTTGGTTAGAGTGTGAGTTTTTGAAGGAAACTCCTCGACCTCGACCATAGTCTCTTCTAGTTCCATGACCATTGTCACGACCACGACCACGACCGCGACCACGACCACGACCACGATTGTAGCTTCGACCACTGTGGTTTTGTTCTGTCCTATCAAAGGTTGTCACATTCGCTTCAGGGAATGGAGCAGAACCAGTTGGACGCAGACCATGGTTTTTCATCAGCAGCTCGTTATTCTGCTCAGCAACAAGGAGACATGATATCAACTGGGAATACTTCTGGAATCCCTTTTCACGGTATTGTGTCTGCAGGACAACATTGTTGGCATGAAAAGTAGAGAATGTTTTCTCTAACTTATCTGCCTCCGTGATTTTCTCTCCACACAACTCCAACTTGGAGGTGATCTTAAACAAGGCTGAGTTGTACTCTGCTACAGACTTGAAGTCTTGAAGCCTCAAATGAGTCCAATCATAACGAGCTCTGGGTAAAATCACAGTTTTCTGATGATCATACCTTTCCTTGAGACTATTCCAGAGGATTTGTGGATCTTTCACATTCAAGTACTCATTTTTGAGATCCTCATGGAGATGATGGCGAAGGAATATCATAGCCTTTGCATTGTCTTTGGCTTCAGCCTTATTTCCTTCCTTGATGGTTTCACCAAGCTCCTTTGCACTCAAGTGAATTTCACCATCTAATGCCCATGCAAGGTAATTGTCCCCACTAATGTCAAGGGCCTCAAATTCCAAACTCATGAGCTTCGACATGTCTGCAGGACATGTAAAATAAAATAATAAGAAAATTTGCATAAATGTACAAGTCATGTCTTCAGGACATGTGTAAATAAATCATGTCTTCAGGACATATATAAATGACTTGAAAATAATAAATAGCATATGCATATACGAAACTCAAATTAATGTGAATGCATAAAATTCGTTTTTTAATGCAATACAGAAATAATGGGCCGTGCAAACATTGGATTAATAATAGATGTGCAAGCAATATGTTAATAATGGGCCGTGCAAACAATATACTGATAATGGGTCGTGCAAAGAATGATAATAGTATGGACCGTGCAATAACAATATGCAATCAGTGGGCTAACATGTAAAGTGCAGATAATAATCGTGCGAATATTGGGCCGTGCAAATAATGGGTTAACAGGCTAAGATGTATTGAATATTATACTTTAATGAAATAGAACAATATGCAAAAACGGGATTGTGCAAGATACGGGATTTAATTATCTAAAGACCCTAACAATGTTCAGTATAATGAATTAAGATAGGGAATAAACTAATAATTCAATGAGTAATATTCAATTTGATGAACTTGATGCAAACAATATGAATATAATTCAGATCTATGAATTTCGGATATGAACAATGAAAAATAAATGAGTGTGCAAAATAAAATTCAGTGAATAATATTCAATTTATGAACTTGATGCAAACTATGTGTTTAAACAATATGAACATAATTAAGATTAATGAGTTTCAGATTCAGATTAATGAGATCAGATCTATTAGTATGCATAGAATTCAAGTTCGAATTATAATAGAATAAAAGTGCCGAGATAGAGACAAACAAAACGAAGAGATGCAAATCTATATTATAAAATAAGAGAATTGCAGGAATAGTGATAAAGCTTAAACGTGATATGAATGAAACTCTTATTATAAAACTCTTAGAAATTCGCATAAAAGAAAAAGCAAGAGTAAACGTGATGAATTAACATCTCGTATGATTGTATAACAAGCAATATAAGCGAATCAATAAGTCTCATATAGATGGCTCACGATAACGGAGATCGGATGTATCAATATATGTGATCTTATGATTTGATATTAAGAACCATGAGTCGATGTATAAACATGGATCTTAATATCTATGAACAAGAAAAATATCTAAAATTATACCTTCTAGTTCAGACGGCTAGAACTTGTGCTGATAACGTGTTATAGAAGAAGAGAGAACAAGAGAAGAGGAATTGGTTGTATTCTTATTCCATGAATAATAAATCCTTTATATAGAAATACAAGTAGGGTCTAATGGGCATCCACTAAATAGCCCATAACAATTAAAGATATGTTTTGACTTTTTTATTTTTCTTTTTGGTGTGGAAAAATTTGGTAACGAAGAAGACTCATGAGAAGTCTTTTGGATCCTTATTTGTTAAGTCAATCAAATTTTATATTTTTAATTTAGCAAGAATGCCAAGAAAGAAAGGAGATAATACTGAATTGGTAGAATTTCCTTAACAGCTGAAAGAAACGGTTGAGATTAGATACGGATCATGACAAGGTTTAGAGCAGATTACTACTTAACAGGTAAGTTTTCTCAAAATTTTAATTACATAAAATGTAAAAGTAAAAAAATTATTTTCTTTGTTATGCTTAAACTTGAAAATAATCATATATTGACTCACATTAATTTGTTGACAAACAAATTTTTTCTTCACATTAATATGTAGTAGGTAAAATACATAAATTATGTTGTTTTAGATTTTTTTGGTTTATATATAATGAAATCACTGGTTTCTCCCGTTTATTTAGCAAGAAGAATTAGAGATTGGGTAGAATCTCCACAACAGTCCAAAGAAAAGCTGTCACGATCGGGATTGGATAGAGGACTATATAGCAGCTACGGCTACTTAATTAATTTAATATTTTTTTAAAAAGGAAGAGCAATCAAGAAATGGAAAAAACAAATAAAGGAAAATAAAAGGCGTGAAGAAAAAGAAAGATCAAACCGCCTCGAATTCGGAATCAGTGGGACCCACCTCTCCTCCAGAAATTGTGAGTAGAATAAAGCATCTTCCCCTACAGAAGCGGTCAAGCTTTTGGTCAATACCCACAAAAACCCTAATCCTAAATTTTGAGAGGGAAAATCTATCCGCCAAAACGCCACCTCAAAACCCTTCTTCTCCTTCTCCCTCCCCCTTCTCTCTCTCTCTCTCTATCTCTCCAAATCTGTATCTATCTCGGATCTCTCCCTAGTTTTTGTTTATTGTTCGGCTTAGATTTAACTGTTAGAAAAACCCTTGTTACGGTCATGGCGGTCATGGACGGCGGTCGGAAGGCGAAGAGAGCCAGGCGTAGCAACAGAATCTCCGCCGATCTCTACGGTTTCTCCACTTTCCCGGTGGAAGAGATGGGCGGAGGCGAGTCCAACTTGCCGCCGTTTCGCGACGGAGTGAGATCCTTCCTCGCGAGCCACGCGCGCGTCACTTTCCCCACCTCCACGCTCTTCTCGAGCCTGATGACGTGGCAGATCCTTCTCAGACATGGGGATTCCAAGGACGGTTCAGATCTCTCCACCAGACTCGTCTCGCTCGACGTCGTGGAGGAGGATGTAACCAGATCCACTAGATCCGTTTACTGTGACCACTGCCGAGTCGTTGGTGAGTCCACGTCCTTCCAGATTCCCGTTTTAAAGCTATAAAACTTTTTTTTTTCTTTTCTTTAAAAACATCGTTGCATGCATAGATTGATAGTAGAGACTAACCAAAATCTGATCTTTTGTTGTTTATAAAGGTTGGAGTAGCCATCCAGTGTGTAGAAAGAGGTACCACTTCATCATAAGGTCAGGAGGAGACAGTAGGAGCCTCAACGTTGGGCTGCAAAAGGCTTGCTCAAGGTGCGGTAACACTCAGAACCTGTCCGAAGGGAGCAACTGCAAGTGGTGCAGCTTGGCTCTTGACGTAGAGGACTGGGTTTACTCTCAGCTAGAGGACAACACTCATCTCCTTCACGGCGTTATCCACTCCAATGGCTATGCCCATCTCTTGTCTCTCAACGGCAGAGAAGGTGGCTCTGGTTTCTTGACTGGTCGTTCGATTATGGACTTCTGGGACAGGCTTTGTTCCTCCCTCGCTGTTCGGAAAGTGAGCGTGATGGATGTGTCGAGGAAGTACGGGATGGATTATCGGTTGCTTCACGGGATGGCGAGAGGGTCTTCATGGTACAGTGAGTGGGGGTATGAGTTTAAATCTGGGAGCTATGCGCTCACGAGAGATGTGTATCAGTGTGCTGTAAATACTTTATCTGCGATACCTCTCTCTGAGTTCTTGTTCCAAGGGAGGAAGCCAAGAACTCAGCTCCACTCTACTATTGGCTTCTACCAATCACTCTCGTGTTCAGAGCTTGTGACCGTGAGAGACCTCTTCTCCTTTCTGCTACAGCTGATTCGCGAGAACCGAACAAAACCACCTACAGCTAAGCCGTCGGATGTGCTTTGTGCTTGGACTAGGAGCGATGTGGAACGTGTACAGCAAGCCATGGTGAAGATATTGAAAGCTGCAGGTGGTCAACAAGCAAAATGGGTTTCAAGGTGGGCTCTCAAAAGGTCTATTTGCAGAACAGCCTCTCCTCAGCTGATTGATTACTGTCTGAAGCATTTTGGAGGGGTTTTGGCGGATGACGGAACTCGAGTAGTCTGCTCCCGTTGCAATCCTGGTTCAAACGACTTTGAATACAGGTAAAATCTCTTCTTTCTCTGCTTGAGGCTTGTTTGGTTTTCAAGTGTGCATAACCTAACAACCTTTACTCATGAACTTTAGGCTCAGACCTGTCAACAATATGCATCAGTTATCATCTAATCAAGACATAAATTTTGCATCAAAGGAGCAAATCAAAAGCGACTTACGATATTTGTATGACACTTTATTGCACCCACAAACCATGGCCGAGTTTAGGTCTCAAGCAATAAGAGATAAAATGATTGATGCAGCCACAAAGATTCTTGATTGTAAGCACTTCATAAAAGATCACCGGTCTAGTACGGTCAACCCCTTTGCAATCAACATCTGGTGCCAGGCTGAGGTCTCGGATGAGTCCAAAGAATGCCCATCCCCTCCACCTGAACTGTTGGTTTTGCCAGTGAACGCTACTGTTTCTGACCTGAAAATGGAAGCTGCTAAGGCTTTTCAGGAAGTGTATGCAATGTTCAAGAGGTTTGAAGTGGAGGAGCTCCTAGGCTATGGCTCTATTGATGACTCCATTACCCTGAAACTTTTAGTTGGGACGAATGGGGTCATACGGGTTAAAGGAAGATGCTCGTCAAAACATGGGCTCCTTAAATACCGCATGGAGCGAGGTGTGGAGAACTGGAAAGTTGATTGCAAGTGTGGTACGAAGGACGATGATGGTGAGAGGATGTTGGCCTGTGATGACTGTGGTGTGTGGCACCACACTAGATGTGCTGGGATCAAGAACTCTGATGCACTACCTTCCAAGTTCCATTGTTTCAGATGCATTGAGTTGTACAGCAAAAGACCAAAGCAATCTGGTAACGATCGTGCTAGTCAAGTGTCCAAAGCTGGCTTTGTTTGTAGAGGTGAGTCAGCTGCTATGGGCAGTGGATCTAATTTATCCGTAACTCTTAGTGTAGGCTAACTGTAATTTTGATCTCTGTATATAGGTCCTTATCTAGGCACAAAACTGCAAGTGGCTTAATGTCTCTACCCATGATTGTAACACGACTGCTTCAAGATTTCAATCCTAAAAACATGGATTTGAGACATGAATGGAAAACAAATGTTTTGAGATGCTAATTGCGTTTTACCTTTCATTACTTCGTTGCTGCATGCTAGCACTTTATTCCCAATTACGGATCATTGACCTCCAGCGGTAGTCCAGATCTGCATTCAAGAAGCATAAAACCAGAGCATACGATTATTAACTTTCCTAAACAAAAAATAGCATAACTCGTATGCAAATCATCTAAATTATCTCACCACTTGTCAAAGAAGCATGTAATTTCATTCTCGTTAATGAACCATATTGTACCTTTTTACACAGCGCTTCACAACTTCTTAACTGTCTTTAGCTGGACTTGTTTGTATAATCTTGCTCTTACACTGTTTCCTCAACGGAAGATGACTTATCGGTTGACTCCATTACAAATGTCTTGGCCGAGACAAGTTCTGTCAAATAATAAGCATCCTATTATCCGGTATAACAGGATCTCATAGATTGGAATGCAAGTGTAGAGGTTTTGCCTGCAATTGCAGTTAAAAAAACTTAGTTTTTCATAGTAAATAATCATTACATAGGAATAGCAAAAGGAACACAAAATGACACTGCTTTTCTAAAACTTCAAATGGCAACTTGACCTGGAAAGAATATACGCCACGATAAAATTACAACGAGACCTTATTAGATTGGAGAGAATGTAAAAAGACACATAGTTGACGAAGTTGACACTGAGCAGAGGGCTTACCTTGATTGTAACATATATGGGGAGAGGTAACAACCCATCTGCTCCTGCAAGTATATATGGTCCTTACTCTGATGTATCAGGCAGCAGGTTGATAATGAGTGTGCAACAGCTTGTCATGCAAAGCAGCTTTGAAGTAGTTAATTTTCAGTCGTTCATTATCTGCAAGATTTACACGAAAAGATATGTTAGACGACCACTTTAGAAAGAAGCATCAGAATTGCCTAAGCTTTGTGTTCAACACCAACAAAACCGCAACGAATGCTCGGCTTACATAACATCAATGAGAATATTGTGATCACATACCAACAATTGAATTGATCGTCAAGAAACACCAAAGTATATCCAAAATGCTCAGGCGTGAAGAAGGTTATAAGCATTTTCAGCTCGTCGACGATCTAGGATGGTCCATCTAGACATCCTTAGAAGAAGGTTTGGGAAACTCCTGATAAATAGATTTTCTTTCCATCCAAAGCCTGAATTGAGCAGAGATACAAACATTTCCATAATCAAATTGCTGATGATGAACACAAAAGAGGATATTCATGTGAGGGCAACAAAGGGGAATCAAACTAACCTCGTAGGCGCAATCAATATTTTCATCTCTTGCATTGGCCCAAAGGTCATAAATTATCTCTAAAGGCCGTTTCCATGGCGAGAGAGAGAGTTTCTGAATCTCCTTGCCGCTAGTATCATGATCCACCGACTGGAACGAAAACGACGCTATGAAGCTGGAAGCCATCAAATCAATTGGTTTTCTCAGAACGATTAATCCGAATCACACAAAACCTTGGATTTGAAGGATTTAAGAATCCCAATGTCAAATTTGATAAAGTGTTGAGAAACATACCTCTCGATGGATCGAAAAAGTTCGATTGAAGCCAGCATACTTTATTCTTCCCAGAAAACCATCGAATTCAAATGATTGATTGGGATGCGTGTCAATGAGGAATGAAACCCTAACTCCCCGAGGAGCATAATTCTCTCGACGGCAACATTGAATTGACAAGGAAGAAAAAAACACAGCAATTCAATTGATTCAAAAGGAACTTCATAGGATGGATTACTCTCTTTCTCCAGTGGGTTTGGAACTAGAACCAGCCATGTAAAACGATGAAGAAAAGAAAAAAGAGGAATCGTGAAGATGAAGAAGAAGCAATACCATCGCTGCAACCTGCAACGAGCTTTCTTACAAGAAACATATTTTTATTCAGGAAACTGTTGAACGGTGTTAAATGCACCGTTGATTGTTAGGTTTCAGTTTTACGAAACCAACACTTAATGGGCCAAACCTTTACTAGGCCCAATAACTTACATCATAATTAATGGGCTAAGTTATTGAATACTGAACCGGGAGAGTCTTCTTCTTCCCCAGTCTGCAATTTTCCGAGTGAAGAAAAAAGGGTTTAGGGTTCAAAGAAAAATGGAGGGGAATCGTCGGAATTCGCCTGCCGGTATGGAGGTTCCAGTTGCAGGCGGCGGAAATGTCGTAAAATGGGTCGAGATATCTGTGCCTCCACCCTCTTCTTCTTCTAATGCTATCGAATTTAATTCTAGTGAGCACAATGGATGTGTTCTACTTCCTTCCTTTGAAGAAGACTACACTTCTAGCTCTGTAATCGGTGAAAATCCGATCTCTTTAATTTGGAGAATCAACAAGACGAGCTCAAATGTGCTCGAGCTTCTTCAGCTCTCTGCTAATTCGGGATTCCCATTAACTGGACTGCGTTTCGTCTTTGCTCATACTCTCTCCCCTTTTGCTTTTGTATTCGCCGACGAGGTAATTTTGAACTCTTCTTCTTCAATTTTTGATCCTTTGGTTTATTGTTTTTGCTTATATTGAAGCTACGGAGTTTAATGGCAGGGTATCGGTAATGGTCGTCTCGTCTTCTTTCTATACGCCATCACGCCGTCTGGTGTTGTCTACGTCCTGAAACTCTCAAATACGTCAGCTTATAAATCAGGCTCAGTGTTCCCGATTGATCATCTGATCCACTTGGATGTTCGACCTTACTTGAACGAAGCTAGTGTTACCAGTGTCGCTGCATCGCCTGGTTTCCTTTTTCTCGGGAGATCTGATGGTTGTGTCTCTTGCTTCCAATGCTTTGAGTCTCCTCAGAAATCATCTGGTTAGATTTACTCTGCACTACTAGCTTAGGATCTTAGTGCGTTGTTTCTTCCGTCCGTTCGCTTATCATTGCCATTGTCTCTCACCAGGTTTCCACCAGGAGCTGCGGGATGATACAGGATTTGGTCGTCTTTGGGGATTTGTAAGGCAAGTCTTGTTTAACTTTATAGACTTAGAAGAGAAAATCAAAGCTAATGTAATGCTAATTTTTTTCTTCTTGTGATGTTCATTTGAGTAACCTCTTATAATGTGCAATGTAGGGGGACAGTTGTTGCAGCCGTGCAAGATTTATTTATATCAGAAGTTCATGGGAGAAATTTAATATGCGTGCTTCATGCTGATGGGGAATTACGTCTCTGGGATGTTTTGACTTATACCAGGGTTTTGTGTCAGAGTATAGCTGCTAAAAACCTTGATGGTAATATCTGCTAGCTCTATCTGTGGCCATTAATTGAATTTTGCATAATCTTTTACCTCTGTTTTTGAGTTTTTAATGCTTCTTTCATTAGGGGTCATGTGTCTGAAGTTATGGTTGGGCAAAGCTGATTATGATTCTGGCATCATTCCATTAGCTGTCTTGTATAGAAATAGTATGGTAAGCTTTTACAACCTGCATTTCAGTTTCTTCCCAACTAACGGGGTTGGCTGGAGTGGAACGTATATAGTCAATTTTCTATTGCATTCTGTCTCTAATACCCTTTTCCCAATTTTTGAAGGGTGGCAGCGTGGATGTGATCACTGTATATGGCCTGCACTTTAATTCTGGGGAGGGGATAGCTTTGTCTCTAGATTCTGGATTACAAAATATTTCACTGGAAGGGGTACAGTTTCTTGACTCACTTGTGACACAAACAATTCTGTCTTTCTTTTATTTGCTCATAATTATGTTGAATTTGCAACTCCCTTGATTTTCTTTTCCTCACTACTTTGTTGAACTGCGTATCCTGAATTTGTCAGGGGGGATTGCGGGATGTCAGATTTACATCCGACAAGATCTGGATTCTAAAGGCGGATGGATTGACATCTCATATGTTGTGCCAAAAATCTAGCACCATGTAAGTTCAAAAACACTTATTTTCTGCTGAATTGGTTGTAATACTTTGTACTCCATGTATAAAATATGATGTATCAAGAGGTACTGAATATACGTGCACATATTATTTTCTATGGTCCTCTGCATTCCTGAGATGGGTTTGTAAATCTTTTAGTAGGTTAAGCTAGAAAGATTATTGGTTTCCAAACTGCGGTGATAGTTTCTTGTCTAGTGCATCTTTGTCGTAGTGATTGTGCTATTGACTACTACAGATAATCTAGTGCTAACTGCTTTGATTTTTGTTTCTTGATGGTGGATAATGCTCTATCTTAAATTGTTTTCCTTGACCTAGGGAAGCACGGTCTTACACTTTGCAGGAAGAGTACATCTCGGAGCAGCTATTTCTGAGTTCTAGGAGCTCTTCACATGACCTTCTTTTGACAACTCATTCACTGTTTTCATCCGCAAAGGTCCTTATACTAAAACATAGCTTTCATTTTGCTCAATTTTTTTTGTACCCAATCTGATTCTCCTTTTGTGCATGGTATGCTGTAAAACAGTGTTTTATTTGTATGAATCCATCTTAACCTATATAACACTTTGCAGGACCAAATTATGGGATTCATTTCATCGATCTTCTTACGCAGGCTTCTTTGTCCTGGAATTTTTCACAATGTTGCCTTGCGTCTAACTCTAAGGGACCATAACAAACACTGGACTGATTCTGAGTTTCAATCTTTAAGTCTTGATGAGCTTAAAAGCGAGGTTCTTTTACTGGTTGAGCATGAGGTTTGGTTTTTGCGAAGTTCTAGAGTACCTTGTAGATTTTCCACTGTTAGGTGGCATGAACTTTTAAGTCATAAAAGCTGAAATATTTTTCTTCGTATCTCAGGTAACTGGTGAAACTTCAATTTCGGTTTTTCACTGGTGGGAAAACTTTTGTACATGCTATCTCCATCATTGGTGCAACAATAATGAACCTCGCACGTTGCTGGTTCAGTCAGATGTTATTGGTTTAGTTAGAAACAATTCTGTTTCACTGTTTTTGAGATTGGAGAACAACACTGAGGACAGCATTGGAGGTACGAAAATGATTCTTGATTTTCTATCTAGAACCAGAATTTTCTTATATTGTTCCCAATCCCTCAAGACTTAATACTGTGATTGCCTTCTAGGATCTTCCTCCGAACACAGCAACCTGACAAGCTTAGGCTTGGGCTTGTCTCACAATGAACATGAGATTCTGGCGGAGGTACAACAATGTACTCTGAAGATCAGTAAACAGTGGGGTGGTGCTCCTTATGCCATGTATTATGAATCAATTACTGGAAAGCCGGTTATTTCGTCTGATGAAATTGTTCCTCGCTTAGTTAACATCCTTGAGTCTGGATATGCTATGTCCATAGGTCAGCGTACCTGGTCAGACCTTGGTGCTGATAGAGCATGGGAAAAAGAGCTAGAAGCTCATAAAAATCTTAGAACATTCTCCATTGACATGTTATTGTCTCTCTCTGCTCTATGCCAAAGGGCTGGATCTTGGGAAAAGGTTTTTACCATCATGGAGCACTATTTGAAGTATCTGGTCCCTAAGAAATTTATGCATAACAATGATGGCGAGGCATTATCTGATATCTGTAGTTCTATCCTCATCCAAGCAACTTCTCAGTATGTTAAGGTGATGTTTGAGTCTGCCTTTGACATCTCTCTACTCGTCAGCTATCTGCTTAACATCTCTGAGCAGGTCAGTTTCCACTTTCTCTCGTAACATTGGGAAAATATATTCCTTTAATGGAATAAGTGTAGTTTATATTTCGACACTAATGTCACATTCTTTCTTTTTTTGCAATTTTGAAAAATTCTAAACTCAGTCATTCATTTTTTTTCCTTTGCATTTTCTTTCTGCAGGTTAATATGTCACAGCAAGATATATGCAGGCTACGGCTTGAGTTGCTTCCGATGATCCAAGATATTGTCTCAGAGTGGCTCATCATCCTTTTCTTTGTTAACACTCCGGCTGAGTCGACTTCAATGGAAGATTTCAGCTTTAAACTCTCATCTCTACAGATTGGTAGGTTGTTTTCCATGGAAGATTTTCCCCAAAGTTCATACCCACAATCACATCCTATTTTTTTTACTGGACACAATTTTTTTTTTTCATTTCATTGCAGATAGCAGCATTGATAAAAGATCATGGAACACAGTGCTTGGGAAATGTGGTTTCTCATTGGCGTATATTCTTCATTTTAGTGACCGAAGTAGCATTGTGGACAGCCGATTTAACTTAAGATGTCTTCCGAGCTCACAAATCATTACAAGTTTGGTACAAAACTTTGTCAGCTGGATTCGTTATAGTAAAACAGGAGAGGACTCTTCTTCACTGCTAAGACGCTCAACTGAGCTTACTCTTAGGTTGATAAGGAATGGACAGTCTGATGCTGTTGAGGTAAATGATGTCTATGCTTCTTTGACGAAGCTTTTCCAACAAAAAGTTCTATATAGCTAACTGCTATTATTTGCTGATTCCTCCTCTGTTTTGATTTTTTTCCGTATATTCTTAATTACCTTCTCAAGCGAATCCTTGTGGTTGTGGAGGCAAGTTTACGTGGGGAGAAAACATTTGGACTTGCTCAAGATGCTAGTGGAGATTGGTGTCTTCTTCAACATCTCCGTGGTTGCTGCCTCCTTGATCAAGTACAACGTGGAGCATGCGGGATATTAAGAGAGAGAAAGATTAGTGAAGCCATCCGCTGCTTTTTCAGGTGCTTATTATTTGGTGTCTATTCACGGACAATTTCAAAGCTCGGTTATGTATGATATATATGTTAGGCCAGTACATAATTTTGTGGGTTTTACATCACTATTTTCTGCCTTTGTTGTTCAATATCTGGTTGATTTACTTTCTAATATTATTCTTTCAAGAAACTTTGTCTTCGTTTTTTCTAACATACATCTCATGTATGTACCCTGTCATTGTTCTCAATGTAGAGCTTCATCAGGTGAAGGATCTTGGGAGGCTTTGCACAGCTTGTCTGAAGAAGCAGGATTTTCGCATTCTACAATTGGTGAGCTACTCAAAGAAATTTGTTCTTTCTCTAATTCTTTGCATATTATTTCGAAAATTATAAATTGTTATTTCCATTTGGTTGGAGCAGGTGCCAGTATTTCTGATAGTGAAAATTCTTGTGCGACATGGAAACTTCATTACTATGAATGGGCTATGCAAATTTTTGAACGGTACAATATAAGTGAAGGAGCTTGTCAGTTCGCCTATGCAGCCCTGGAACAAGTAGACGAGGCCATTAATTTCATGGAAAGTAGTGAGAACGCCCTTCTACCCACCTATAGTAGAGGACGATTGTGGGCAAATGTTTTCAAGTTCACCTTAGATCTGAATCTCTTGAATGATGCTTACTGTGCTATAATTTCAAACCCTGATGAGGAGATAAAGCGCATCTGTTTGAGGCGCTTCATAATAGTTCTATTTGAATGTGGCAAAACAAAGGTAGATGTCAAGAAATCTTCTTCTCTTGCTTTCCTTAATTATTCCTTCTATGTTTTTTTTTTTGGCAAATGGGGACCAAAATCCCAAGAAACCTTTATCTCTATATTGTCTGTTAGCACGAGAACATTTCAGACCATTATCACCATAGTTGTTATAAACAGCGTAATTGCACTTTGCTGTTAGCTGTAACTAAAAATGATTCTGCTATTGTGAGTGCTGTCTTATATGATCAGACCTCCACAAAGATGTTTGTACCTCCATGGCTTAAAAAAGCAATACTTTTATGAATATTTCTCTTTTGATTTCAGATCCTCAGTGATGGACATCTACCTTTCATCGGCTTAACAGAGAAGATCACCCAAGAACTTTCTTGGAAGGTACTTTGTTGTAAGAAGATTCGGTGTGTTTCTGCCCTGGTTTATTTCTACTACGTTTCATTCATTCTTTCTATGATTTGTAGGCTGGACGTTCTGAGGTATTGATTAAGCCAAATCCATACAAGCTGCTTTATGCTTATGAGATGAGACGACACAACTGGCGAATGGCGGCAAGTTACATGTATCAGTTTTCTGCTCGTCTGAGAAGCGAGGGAGCATCCAAGGATTACAAACATATGTCCTTAGTTTTGCAAGAGAGGCTTAATGGACTTTCTGCTGCTATGAATGCTTTGAGTCTTGTTCATCCTGGGTATGCTTGGATTGATCCACTACCAGAAGAATCCATGTGTTATCCAGCGAAAAAGGCTAGAAGAGCAGAAGAAGAACAATGTTAGTGCCCTCAACCACATCTTGTACTTATCTTTTCTTACTGATAATTTTTGTTTTCATATTTATTCCTCTTCTAGCATCATTCGGTTATGTTGTTGTATTATCACATGGATAGCCATTTTTGAATTACTTTTTTTGCAGTAAGGAGTAGTGATCAGCCCAAAGGAGAGCAGAGTTGCATTGATATAGAGAAACTCCAAAACGAGTTTGTTTTTACTACAGCAGAATATTTGCTCTCTCTGAAAAATTTCGGGTGGACATATTCAGGTAATCTGTCTTCTATTTGCTCCATGGTCTTTCTTGAGTTTGCAGTATAGGGGTAGTTGGAACTTTGAATGATCCGTGTTTTAGAACTTGGTAAAAGGCCTCTGCAATTGTAGTTGACAGAAAATCACAGGGTATCTTCACCCTAAATGTGATGTGGAGAAATTAAAATCTTTACCTACTGCCACCGTTGAAAGAATAAAATATTTTCAGTCTCCTTTTGTTTATGAGGTAGCTTTTGTGCATCATTGATTTCGCTACTGGATGGACCAGTCTTCCATGGCAGACTGCTTAGGTGGCAATGGCATAACTGTGTTCTATGCAATTTCCCTAAGGCATTATTTCAGAAGGGTGTCAAAGATTAACTGTTTCCAAGTCATCTAATACAATGATGTCTATAACAAATATGCATTGTTGTTGTCTTCATTCCAGATCTCGAAAAGCCACCATCGGACTTGGTTGATCTTCTTGTCCAGGCAGACTTGTATGACATGGCATTCACTGTTGTTTTAAGATTTTGGAAAGGCTCAGCTTTGAAAAGGTAAATTATTTGCTTGGTATTTCTGAAATTTCTTTTTCTAGAATTACACAGGTGTAAAAATTACTTCTTATTCTCAGGGAGCTGGAAAAGATATTTGAGAATATGGCAATTAAATGTTGCCCTGTTAAAGGAACTCTGTGGACCACGTGAGTTACTTAGTAATTCATTGGTTACTTGTTGACTTATCTGACTTATCCAACATATAATTAAGATGTAGCTTTCTTTGTCTTACCGAAATGATCCCAGGCCCAATCTTATGTTAACATCTACGGACGAAGAAGTTATTCATTCGCCTGACAGAAACCCTGCTGCTCAGGGCTCTAAGTTGGCTGGTGACTGGGAAATTCTTGAAGTTTATATTGTGAGTAACTTCTGAATCCTTGACTGGAGTATATTCTTTTTGTGTCATTTGGTATCTAATTATTTACCACTCTGACTATTGGGAGCATTGAAAAGTGTTGGCATGTCGTCATGAGTATTAATCCAGAAATATGTCGGTAGTTGCTCCGAATTTTAAATGGTTATGATGCCCCCATAGCTTATCCCGAATTATAGGCATCTCTACTTTTATTTACAGTATATCGGTCAATTAAACCAGAGTAGCATCCCCTCGTTTCATAATTCTTTAATGAGACCTGCCTACATTGTCACTACTGTTTACTGTAAATATACTTGGTTCGTGCTTGAATTTTCTAGTAGGTGCTTTGGGTAAAGGAAGTTTTTTTTTTTTTTTGTGAAATTAATCTGTGTACCGAATATGTATAAATGCAGAAACGGTACAAAGACATACACGCTAGACTACCATTTACTGTTGCTTCAACTCTTCTTCAAGCAGATTCTTGTATCGAATTGCCTCTCTGGCTTGTTCAAATGTTCAAGGTAAGAATTTGGAAATATGTATACATATATACATAATTCATTCTGGTTACATGGAAGTCATCTTGACCACTTTCTTGTGCGTTCGGACAGGATGGTCAGAAGGAAAAAGCTTTGGGAATGGGTGGGCAAGAAGCAAGTACTGCTTCCTTGTTTCAGTTATATGTTGATTATGGGCGTCTTACAGAGGCCACTAATTTGCTATTGGAGTACATGGAATCATTTGCATCATCGGTGAGTTATATATGATCTGTGGCTGTCAGCGGTAGATAATCAATGTTGAATTATAAGAATCTCGCTATAGTATAGGTTTGTCTCCATATTAGAGTTTGTAAGGTTGGCTAGGGTTTAACATAACAGTAGAACAAAAGGTTGCAGACTTTACACTTAAGAAGCTTTTTATGCATTGATATGTTTTTGTTTATAGGCTGTGTTGAGCATGAAGTCATATGTTAGGACTGAAATAACCTCGTTTTCTCTCTTATTAAAACAGAAACCAGCAGAGGTATTGAAAAGGAAAAAGGTATCAGGAGTTTGGTTTCCTTACACGACAGTGGAAAGACTATGGTGGGAGCTAGAGAAGACGATGAACTCAGGACGAATGTTGGAGCAGTGCCAGAAGCTGAAGGAACAACTCCATCAAGCATTACTCAATCACTTAAAGCTGGTACATTTTGCAATAACAATGATAAGCGGTAGAAGTGCAAATTCTTGTCGTGTAATATTTGATTAGTCTTATTAAGTGATGTTTGTTTTGTTGCAGCTGAAAGTGGACTCAGATGATGCTGTATCCTCTGCAACCGGTTGATGCAAATCTTGAAATGGGAGGGCTTAATGATTGATCCGTGTGAATATATCTCCATATGAAAATCGTATCAGGAGGTTACCTTTTTTTGTTAGTGTAGTTAAAACAAATCTCTTATGTGGTGTTGTTGGTCCATAATTTTCATTTCCATAACCAGAACTGGAAGAGTATTGTTGAGAAACTCTGAAAAGAAAAAATGAAAACCAAATTCTCTTATGTACATGTGTTAAACAGAACCAAAACATGATAGTCGTAAAATTGAGTCCAAATCCGAAACCATAACAATTTTGGGTTGTATAATATAATCCATAAACCGAATCAAAATCCGAATTAAACACTTTACACAAAAGATCTAAACCGAAAACCAAACCAAAAGAAGCTAAAAATTGGCTTAATTCGTAGAAATTTGTGCGCGTGACGCATTTTGTGAAAGAGTATAAGAGACAACGAAGTGAGAGTGTGAAACTGAAAGCAACAATGGAGAAGCTCAAATCACTAATTCCTGAGGATCTTCTGCAAACGGTGAAATCAAGCAGCGCCGATGATCTTCCCTCCACTTCTTCGTCTCTTCTCCGTTTGTTTCTGTCTCTTCCCCAGTTTCACCAAGTTCGTACCTTTTCCCAAAACCTACTCTTCCCCTCTCTGTGTTTCTTCAATCTCTTGTTCGTCTCTTTAATTGGAGTTTTTATTTGCTCTTTGTTTTCTCAATTCGACTTTTTCAGGCGGTGAGTGAGTTAGCGAATCCTGATTTGGGTTGCTGTGGGAAGAACGAAGAGACATCTCTAGACTTGAAACGCCGGGGAAATCAATGCTTTCGCAGCCGGAATTTCGACGATGCTCTGCGTTTCTACTCCAAAGCTTTACGTGTTGCTCCTCCACACGCCATTGACGGAGACAAAAACTTGCTCGCCTCTCTGTTCCTGAATAGAGCTAACGTCCTTCACGTATCTAACCTTCTCTTTCTCTCAAATTTTCCTTTTTTTTCATCACTGAATCTTCAAGCTTTGAATCTCTATATTTTCTCTAGAATTTGGGGCTTCTCGAAGAGAGCTTGCGAGACTGCCATCGAGCTCTTCGGATTGATCCTTATTACGCAAAGGTTATAATTTGCTTCAGTCAATTTGGATCCTTTAGAATTCTTCAGCTTTCTAAATTCTGCAATTTCACTCCAATTTTTTTTTTTCCAGGCGTGGTATAGGAGAGGCAAACTTAACACCGTTCTTGGAAATTATCAAGATGCAATTCGTGACATTACAGTTTCTATCTCTCTTGAGTCATCTCTGGTGGGGAAGAAGCAGCTACAAAGTGAACTTAAGTCTATTCCGGATTACCAGAATAAGCAAAAACCGGGACTTGATGAACATCATCATCCAAGCAATTATGGTAATGTTGGTGAGATTTTTCTCTTATATTAGAGTGCCTGCAAGAGAGTTTTTAGGCTATGAGTTAGGTTTTGACCTGTCTTTGTTATTGGTTCGTAGATCATCTATCAAGCGTGCAAAGTGAAGTAAAGCTGCGTTGTGTATCGACAAAGGAGAAAGGAAGGGGAATGGTATCGGAATGTGATATTGAACAAGCTTCTGTGATACATGTCGAAGAACCATTTAGTGTGGTATGTTTTCAAACTATTAGGAGGAAGCTCAAAATAAACTCTAGATGGTTTTACTGTCCAATAGGTTTTCTGTAGAAAATGAAGAGAAAAGTGTATCCTTGAATACTAAACGGGTGATGCCACTTCATACAGGTCATATCGAAAAGTTGTAGGGAAACACATTGCCACTTTTGCCTGAATGAGTTGCCTGCTGATGCTGTTCCATGTCCATCATGCTCAATCCCTGTGTACTGCTCAGAGTCCTGCCAAATTCAATCAGGTGGAATGCTGTCGAGAAATGAGATGGAGAAGCATCACATTCGTCAGAATCTACCTGATGATATTGTGGAGCATATTAGAGGCGTTACATCAGCTGTTGTGGTGTATTCTGAAACTGATTGCGTTCAAGAACACCAGCATGAGTGTCAGGGAGCCAATTGGCCTGCTGTACTGCCATCTGACGCTGTTTTAGCTGGTCGAGTTATAACGAAGTTAATAAATCAAGGGAAAACAGCTATGGATCTTTCCAATCTTCAGGAGATATTAGTATGTTCCTTAACTGTATATTTTTCCCCATCCATTTGCAACATTTTTTACAAGAAATCTTATAAGGAGTGACTACCCTGTGATTTTGACAGGATTTTTCTCATAGCTACTCCAAGATGAGTCCAGAGAGCAAGTTGGACTCCCATCTACTTTCCATAGCATTGATTTGGTGCCTAAGTAAATCTTGCTTGCCTGATCTTTTGATCTGTGAAGCTTCTGTGACGCAGGTTTTCCTCTACATCCCTCTCTATGCTCCAGCCAATCTCTCATTGAGGTCAAACTTTGATCTCTGGAAATTGTGCAGGCAGCATATTATGTTCAATTGAATTTGATTGAATGGCTTTCAAGTCCATAAAAGATCAATGATGTCTTGCTTCTGTGATCTTTTGTCATTGGAATTTAGTTTATCAACTGTCGTCGAGAATATAGTGTTAAATTTTCTTATTAGTTTTTGATTTCTTAGATTGAAATCTATCCTCATTGCCAAAAACGTTTACCGCCTGCAACAATATGCATATGGTTCAGTCAATGAGTTTCTGTTATCATGATTGATAGAGAAGTATAGTTATGTACATGATTGCCTTGTGATTTGGCCATTCTTTTTTTTTTAATCAAATTTGACTTATTGAGGTGGTGAGTCTGGTGACCATTGACCACAGTGGATTTTCCTCTGTGTGTAGACTATCATACTTCTGTCACAAATCAAGGTGAACTCTATGGCAGTTGTCCGTATGAAATCCAGCGGCGATTATTCCAAGTGTATCCCATCTGGAAACGTCTCAGTAAAAGAGCCCATTCAGAGTTTAGAGCAGGTTTGTCTTGACAGAGGTACTGCTTATTAAAATGTTATCTGATGCATCTTTTTCACTTGAAAAACTCATTTAGAGCTAGGTATTACCACTTACAAAGATGCAATCTAGAGTTAAAGAAATGACTCGTATCTATCTGTAACCTGGCTTTCTATGTTTGTCTAATATTTTGAACTGAAACTTTGTGAGCATCCACCATTGGAAGTTATGCCATACATCGGTCCTTGATCAAGATCTCACATTTATCATTGGTGATTTATCCACAGATCAGAGTTGGTCAGGCTCTTTACAAAACTGGTAGTTTATTCAATCATTCCTGCAAGCCAAACATCCATTTGTATTTCCTTTCACGTGGACTTGTAATGCGAATAACAGAGTTTGTTCCAATGGGTTGTCCCCTTGAGCTGTCATATGGTCCCGAGGTACTCTTGGAATCCTCTGTTCTCTATTTTTTTTTCACTTCCGGCCTGTATCATATATCTTATGTGTGCTTTCAAGTCCACACCTTTTAATTTTCAGTATGCATAATTAACAGGTCGGAAAATGGGATTGCAAAGATCGCGTTAGATTTCTTCAAGAGGATTACTTTTTCCATTGTCGCTGCCGTGGCTGTTCTCAGATTAACATATCTGACCTTGTTATCAATGGGTATTGCTGTGTCCATAAAAGCTGTGCTGGTGTAGTTTTGGATAGTAATGCAGCCAGATTCGAGTCCAAGAAGCTAAATCATTTTTTGGCTGCTCCCAAAAGCCTAGATCATGATGTTCAGGTAATCTGATCTAGTTTAAGCGAATTCATCACGATTTAGCTTCCACGCAGTACTAATCTCATTCTTCAAGAAGAAATATATTTTTCCGCTGCTCAATTCCTTTTGGAATGGAGCGATGGAACGTCTCTATGGTCTTATGTCCATCTTAACTTTAAGCTGTTATCTGGCTGTAAACCTCTAGGTTTTAGTTTTGGTTTAGTTTTGTTGCTTTTACAGGTGAGGGAGAAGGTGCATGCTGATGTCGGTGAGGTAGCTTCAAGTTTGCTTACAGAACCTAGAGGTTCCCTTCATATAGAACCGGGGATATGTTTGAAGTGTGGATCCCGCTGTGACATTGAAAATTCTCATCTTGAGGTGAACAAAGCTTGGAATCAACTGAGAAGGTACCAAGTTCTTACTTTAAGCTTCATAAAGTTAATTATTAGCGTGAAGTTTCTCTTTCACACGTGGACCTCTTTATACTCTCAGGCTGGAAGAGTTGATGAATTCAGGACGTGCCAATGTTTCCGTATTATCAGATTGTTTAAGGTCCATCGCGGTGCTTAGAACTTTCCTTCACATGTATAACAAAGACATTGCTGACGTGAGTCAAGCTTCTATTTTTATGCCAAAGGACCTTGAAAGCATTGTTACTCTTTATTCTCCAACCTTCAGGAAAAAAACAGACATAACTCACGTTTCAAGTTCTTGTTTCTTTTCAGGCGGAGGATAAGGTTGCTCAGGCGTGCTATCTAGCTGGTGACTTGAAGGGTGCAAGGAAGCATTGTGAAGCGTCCATTAAGGTATAGTGATACTGCTTCTGCTTAGAGCACAAAGCGACTGAAAGATTGACAGTGATGGGTTAAACCCAAGAAATTTAGGATTGAATATTAGCATCACATATCGGCAATGATTGATGGGAACTAAATTTTGGGTTTGGCAGATTTTGAAGAAGCTGTACGAGGAAGAACACGTGGTGATCGGAAATGAAATGGTGAAGCTTGCGTCGATTCAGTTTGCATTAGGTGATTCCAGTGGAGCTTGGGACACTACAAAGTGGATGTCTCAGATATTCTCAAAGTATTACGGGTCACATGCTGAGACTCTCTTCTCTTATCTCCCATGTGTTAAGCAAGATAAGCTATGAACTTGTGATCTTATTTTTAAGCCATATATAAGACAGACGTTTGTGCGGTAATAACTTTGTTACGAACAAAACAAATAAAGGTTCTCAAATTAACCACATACTGTTATTTATGATAGTCCATGTAAAGAGCAACTAGTAGAAACAATGTATATTCTTAATTTTTACTCCATGGAAACCAAAAACGAGTTAACGTAACACCCAAGAAAGTAGATTAAAACACTTTCAAAAAAACGATAAATGTTTGTTACTATAGACGTAAGCAATGACTCAAGAAATCAACTGGGTTTCTCATTTCTTCCTCCGCTCGCTTTTCAAGTGAGACAAGTCTCGACTTGTTTTGATCGTATCGAAGCTTTTCTGAGTCGCTTTGATGTTTCCATTTGCGTCCTGCAGGAGGTTGCTTGATCTGCATTAAACTTGGAACATAAGAGCACGCATGTGCCCTATAGTCTCTGTGGACACCATTTCCGAAATCGAATTCTGTAAAGTATCCAGCCTCGACTCCAATGATTTTAAAAGTTTCTCTACGGCCGTTTAATTCCAAACCCATGACGAGTTTCGTCTCCTCTTCAATGAAGAATCTCTCTGATGTTAACAGATGGTTTTCCGTATCCACTGTCAAGAACTTGCTCCACAACACCTCTTCGGCCTCGATCTTAGTCGTGATCCATATGTCTGTCTCCCGTGTTTGTCTATGCCTAACTGAAACAGCAAGCTTCTCTTCTCTAACACAAGATAAATTGACATAGTCACGATTCCCAGCGTCAAAAGGAAGACGTAGAAGCGGCCCAAACATCTCTCTTGTAAAGTCAAAACAGATTATGTGATCATCGTAGTCTTCTGAGTTCCTTTCTGAAGCAAGCCAATAAGTGTTTCCCTTGAAAGAAACACCGCGCGAACCAAACAATGAAAGCCAGTTTGGAGTGACATCAAGAGTCTTCCATGAACCAGAGTCGAAATCATAGATTTCATACCAGTCAAATTCGTTTTCTTGTTCACCGTTGTATATATCTATGAACCTCAAGAACTTGAGGTTACGACAAGAATTCTTAGCCTCATATCCGAGGGCGTAACAAAACCGGTCCCATCCACGGTTAATAGTACGGTGAGAATATCTACATTCGATACACCTTGTTTGCCCTAAATATGGATTCCAAACAACAACTTTAATAAGTCTTTTTCCGAGACGAATAACAATAAACCTTGGCAGTGGAAGACTTGAGATATCTTGACTTGTTCGCCAAGGCAAGTAAGTTTCCTTGCGGCTTCGTAGATGGATGATCTCCATTGATGACGCTTACTAAATGAAGAGTGGAATCCACCATCACAACCATCCGAAACTCGCCTTCGCTCGCTGAGGTTGTTTTACCAAAGTGCATCTTTAAAAAGCTTTGACTTTTGGATATACTGTTCAACTTTTTGCAAGTTAAACGCACTGCTCTCATAAATTTCAAGGGAACCCTAGACAGAATCTCTTCTACCAATTCCTTTGGAAGATCGAAGATCGTCATCATCGTTTCACTGTGCAACACAGATTTAGTTTTTGACTTCAAAAAGCCTTTTTTTCTTTTTATTTTTTCTTCTTCGATTCCCGGCGGCTGATACTAGAGCTAGGGTCTCCGGATTCCTTTGATTTTTTGGTTGTTGCGATTGTAAAAGGAAGTTCAGTCGCAGCCCTCAAGCCGCTATTACTAAAAGAATATAGGGCCTATATAGATTAAAAACACAAAAAAAAAAAAAAAAATGTATGAAAAAAGGAAAAGAAAATTAAAAAAGTTATAAGAAAGAACAATAAACATCAGAAAAATAGGAAAACAAATAATTAAAATGGGGGAAATTTCAAAACTACACCTCTTGAGGTGCCAATTTTCAAAAATACACCTCTATGGTGTCTATTTTCAAAACTACACTTTTTTCATTTAGTAAAAGAGCTCTAAACCCTAAAATATAAATCCAAAACCCTAAAATCTAACATTGAACCCTTAAATCTAAACCCTAAACTCCAAAATCTAAACCCTAATCTAGGATTAGTGAACCCAAACATATATATTAAAATTAGGAAAAGGTGTATTTTTGAAAATTTCTACACCATAGGTGTAGTTTTGAAAATTTGCACCTCAAGAGGTGTATTTCATAAAATTTCTCATTAAAATGTGTAGAATGATACCTTTGTGGAACAGAGAGTATTATATATAAGGACTGGTAAACTCTAACCCAAAATGAAGCTGGGAAACTCTAAGAAAACAAAAAAAAAGTACTAGAAGAAATATAAAGTAACAGGGTATTAATGATTTGGTTAGAAAGAAAACAAAAAAATAAAGACATCTTAATTTATGTGGTCATGCCCAAAA